CAGGGTCGGGGAGGGGTCCCAGAGGGGGTCTGGGGGTGGGGTCGGGGGTCCCTGGGGTGGGGGGGATCTGGGGGTCCCAGAGGGGAGTCGGGGAGGGGGTCCCAGAGGGGGTCGGGGAGGAGGTCCCAGGGTCTGGGGGTCCCAGGGTCAGGGAGGGGTCCCAGAGGGGGTCCGGGGGAGGGGGAGGGGAGTCCCTGGGGGGGTCTCACCTCAGCCTCGTAGATGAACAGGACCACATGGGTGATGGTGTAGAGCGTCATGTACACCGAGAGCTTGATGGAGCCAGTGTGGCTGATCCGACCCCTGGGGGGGAACCATGAGCTGGGACCCCCACTCACTGCCCCCAACCCCTCCCCTTCACTGCCCCTCCTCCTCACTGCAGCCCACCCCACCCCCAACCCCTCCCCCTCACTGCCACCCACCCCTCCCTGTCCCCAACCCCTCCCCATTCACTGCCCCCCCCGCCCCCAACCCCTCCCCCTCCCTGCCCCCATGCCCCCCGGCGGTACCTGGTGACCGTGAACCCCTTCCCCAACAGGATCAGCATCAGGAGGAAGACGAGGAAGCTGATGGAGAAGAGCAGCTTGGCTGGGGAGAGAGGGGGGGTGAGCCGGGGGCCGGGCGTGAGCCCCCCACGTCCCCCCAGCCGCACTCAGTCACCCATCCCCGCCAGACGGGACCCCGCCACCCACAGCGCAGGCCAGGGACCGGGCCGGAGCCCCACTGCCCTGGGAAAGGGCTCCCCCGGGGGAAACCCGGGCCCAGTCCCCCGTCCGACCATGGGGTGCGGCCGGAGCTCCGGGCTCAGCTCTGGGCGCGGGGGGGCCCCCAACAGGGGACGCGGGAATCGGGGGGGTCCAGCTCCGGACGCGGGGATCGGGGGGGCCCAGCAGCGGGTGCGGGAATCGGGGGGGCCAGATGCAGATGCAGGGGGGCCCCCAACAGGGGGCGCGGGGATCGGGGGGGTACAGCTCCAGGCGCGGGGGTCAGGGGGGCCCAGCTCCAGGCGCGGGGATCAGGGGGGTCCAGTTCCGGGCGCGGGGATCGGGGGGGCCCCAGCAGCGGTTGCGGGGGTCAGGGGGGTACAGCTCCGGGCGTGGGGGTCAGGGGGGCTCAGTTCCGGGTGCGGGGATCGGGGGGGGCCCAGCAGCGGGTGTGGATCCAGCCACACGGCCCCCAGCCCAAGCCCAGAGGGGAGGTCCCCTCCCTGCCCTGCTCCAGGCCCCGGTGGTCCAGCCCGGGACAGCGCCAGCCCCTCTGCCGTCGCTGGGGGGTCGTGTGCGGCTGGTGCCTCCCCACAGCCCCCACATCTCTCCCCTCGCGGCTCCCCCAGCAGGGCCACGTCCCGCCCGGCTGCACCCGCCCGGCACCCACCCAGGATCTTCAGGCTGCCGTTCCCGACGCCGTCGCAGGCGTATTGACCCCAGTAAATGCAGAAGAACAGCAGGCTCACCACTGGGGGGAGAGACAGAGAGTGAGGAGCCCCCTCACCCCGCCACCCCCTCACCCCGCCACCCTCACCCCCCTCACCCCGCCACCCCCTCACCCCACCGCCCCCTCACTCCCTCACCCCACCACCCTCTCGCCCCCTCACCCCGCCGCCCCCTCACCCCGCCGCCCTCTCGCCCCCTCACCCCCTCACCCCGTCACCCCCAACCCAGCATCAACCCCCAGCCCTGCCGGTGCCCCTCACTCCTGACCCACAGCCCCTGCCCCCCTCCCCGCTCTGCCGGTGCCCCTCACTCCCGACCCGCAGCCCCAGCTCAGACTCACCCTCTACGCCGGCCGCCGTCATGAACATTTTGTAGGTGGTGTGGAGCAGCTGGCGTCCCTTGAGCAGATCTGAGAGTCGGGGGGGAGGGGGTTAGCAAGGGGCTGGGGGCCCTGAACCCTCCCCCCAGGAATTGCCGCCGACGACCGGGAGCGCAGAAGGACCCTCGCCTAGGGCGCCAAAAACCCTGGTGCCGCTCCTGCCCCTCCCCCACTTCCACCTCTGGGGGGGGTCATCCCAGATCACAACGAGTCACCAGGGGGAGGAGCCCCCCCCACCTCCCACAGACACAAGGGCCCCAGGAACAGAGCCCCCCATTCAGGGCTTGATCCCCCCTCCCCACCCCCAGTTGTTGGCCCCCCAGTAAAAGCTCCCCTACCCCCCGGGACAAAGACAGTGACTCCCCAACCCCCTCCCCCCCGAGTACTCACAGCCGAAGTAGCAGGAGATGAGGAGGATGAGGAGGAAGATGAGGAGGAAGGTGATGTCTGTCTCCAGGATTCCTGGGGGGGAGAGGGGGGTGTGACGGGGTGCTTGTATCCTGCCCCGGACAAGAGAGGGTTAACCCCAGAGGTGGGCGCCGTAAGTCCCGCCCCTCAGACCCAGCTGGGCAGGGTATAAAAGGGAGCAGCCCAGGCCGGCAGCTCATTCTGGGCTAACCCTGGGCAGAGGCTGCTGGAGAGGGAGCAGGAGACCCTGAGAGCCGGACTGGAGATCGGCGGCCGCCGGAGCCCAGGGAATCACCCGCACCGAGGAGCTGGGAGACCCAGGTGCCCCCAGACGGCAGCAAGTGATCCGGGGACGGTGCACGAGCGGTACCTCCCCCCTCCCCACTGTCAGGGCCCTGGGTCGAGGCCCGGTGGAGTTGGGTGGGCCCGGGCCCCCCTACCTGGGCTGTCACACACACCCCTTGTGGTGGCCCCTTCCTCCCCCAGGGTACTAGCCATTGGGCCACACTGGTTACACTGACTCTGGCCACTAGGCCGCACTGCCCTGAATGCAAGGGCTGCCACAGGGTCTCCGGCTCTGGGCCGTCCCGCTTCCAGCTTAAGGCCTGTCAGGGAGACGGTAACTGCGGTGGTATCGCTGCCCTGGCGTGCACACCCTGCTGGCAGTGCTGGACCCCCCTGCGCTCCCTGGGCAGGGGACATGGAGGGCAGAGAGCACCAGTGGGGCAGACCTGGGGGGGGCAGCAAGCTCTGTCCCGCCCCCGGCCGAGGACCCACCAAACTCGTCGGCAGAGAAGTGCCGGGTCCAGAAGGATTTGCCATTGGTCAGGATCATCTCGTACTCCAGCTGCAGCCCATCACCCTGCGGGGAGAGGTCAGAGGTCACAGCCGGGGGGGCATGGCCAGGGGGCTCTGTGTGTGTGTGTGGGGGGGACACGGCCAAACTCACCCCGCACTTGCTGAGGGCCACGTACCACCAGCGCTCGCGGACCGAGCGGAAACTCCGGCCGCTGGCGCAGCTCAGATACCGCACGGAGTCCTGGGTCAGCACCTGGGGGCGAGACGGGGTGGGGGCATCAGAGCCAGTGGGGGGTACCCGAGTGCCCGTCTGTCCCCCCGGTCCGTCAGGCCAGACGCCTCCCACAAGCGTTGGCAGCCGCAGGGGCCTCCTCGCGCCAGGACAGGGGCCTGGTCTGAGCCGGTCCGGGGTCTGGCCCAGGGCTGAGCTGGGTCCAAGTCTGCGATTGGGGGGCTTCTTGCCCCCTTGCTCGCACTGCGTGAACGGGATGCAGGGGGACCCTGGGGATTACGGGGCCCTTACCTGGCACCCCTGACCAGGCGTACGGAGGGGGGGTTGTGGGGGGACCCTGGGGGTTATGGAGCCCTTACCCGGCACCCTGACCAGGCGTTCAGTGGGGGGGGCTGTGGCGGGGACCCTGGGGGTTATGGGACCCTTACCTGGCACCCCAACCAGGCATACGAGTGGGGGGTTGTGGAGGGGACCCTGGGGGTTATGGGGCCCTTACCTGGCACCCCGACCAGGCGTACGGAGGGGGGGCTGTGGAGGGATCCTGGGGGTTATGGGGCCCTTACCTGGCACCCCGACCAGGCGTACGGAGGGGGGGCTGTGGAGGGATCCTGGGGGTTATGGGGCCCTTACCTGGCACCCCGACCAGGCGTACTGCGTGGTGAGGTTAATGACCTGGTTGTTTTCCGGGCGGATCACAGATTCTTTCATCAGGCAGTCCTGGGGGGAGTAGAGGGGTTAGCACTGAAGATCCCCAGCCCCCCGCAAACCCACTGCAGTGAAGAAAGTTGCTAACGAGTGCCTCCTCGTTAATGAACGTGTGTGTGGGGGGGTCACAGACTCCAAGGCCAGAAGGGACCATCTCGTGTGACCTCCTGTAGGACGCAGGCTGGACTGAAAGCCTGCCCCCAAGGGGAGCTCCTTGTTCTAGGCCTTATTTCCGTCTGGATGGCTCTAGCCCCACGTACGGCTCATTCTCTGCCCCACCCGGGACATTGCAGTGATCCCGCACCCGCCTCGTCCGTATTTACCCCTCCCCCGAGCTTTAGCTGGCTGCAGCTGGGAGGATGCGGGGGGGTCCAGGCCACGGCCACTGATACCAATGCCAACTGGCGCAGGGCCAAGAACTGACCCCCGCGGGCCCCACTGGAAACCCACCTGCGTGAGGACGACTCTCTGACTGTGGCGTTTTGAGACCGTTTTTAACCCAGCTAACGAGCGCTGGGTTCGTTTGATATCGGTCTCGTTTTTTAATCCAAGTCGAACGCCTGACAGGCTCTATCATGTCAACACTGTTAACTTTCTCCACCACAGTCCGACATCTCACCCAGCAGCTGTACAATTAGCCGGGCAGGTCGATTTCCCACGAACCCGTGTGGATTTGCATTAATTATATTTCGCTCCTTTTGTTCTTCATTAATCGAGTCCTGTATCAGCCGCCCATTAGCTGTCCAGGATGAAGGTCAGGCCAGCAGGCCTAGAATTACCTGGTTTATCCCATTTACCCTTTTAAAACAGTGGCACAACATTTGCTTTCTTGCAGCCGTCTGGAACTTCCCCAGGATTGATTGAAAACAAAAATCAACATGAATGGTCTAGCAAAGGCCTCAGCCAGCTCCTTTAACACTCTTGGATGCAAATGATCTGCACCTGCCGATTGAAACGTGTCTAACGTGAGTAGCTTCTGTTTAACATAAGAACAGAACAGCTGCCACACTGGCGCAGACCATGGCCCGTCTAGCGCCGTATCCTGTTTCTGACAGTGGTGAATGAACAGAACAGGGCAATTACCGTCCTTCTTCCACTCCCAGCTCCTGGCAGTGGGCGGCTTAGGGACACCCCCAGAGCACGGGGCTGCATCCCCGACCATCTTGGCTAATAGCCCTTGATGGACCAACCCTCCATGAACTTATCTAATTCTTTTTTGAACCCGGTTATACTTTTGGCCTTTACAACATCCCATAGCAAGGAGTTCCACAGGTTAATTGTGCACTCAATGAAAAAGCACTTCCTCTTGTGTGTATTAAACCTGTTGCCTATTCATTTCATTGGGTGACCCCTGGTTTTTGTATGGCGTGACTTCCCTATTTATTTTCTCCACGCCATTCATGATTTTATAGACCTCTGTCACATCCCCGCTTTGTCCTCTCTTTTCTGAGGTGAACAGCCCTCATCTTTTTAATCTCTCTTCACGAGGAAGCCGTTCCATCCCCTCTATCATCTTTCTTGCCCTTTTCCGAACCTTTCCCAGTTCCACTGCTTCTGTTTTTGAGATCGGGCGCCCAGATCTGTACACAGTATTGCAGGCGTGGGCGCACCACGGATTAGTACAGCGGCACGATAATATTTTGTCTTATTTCCTAATAGTTCCCAACATTCTGTTCGCTTTTTTGACGGCCGCTGCACATGGAGTGGATGTTTTCAGAGAACTCTCCACAATGACTCCAAGATCTTTCTTGAGAGATAACAGCTAATTTAGACCCCATCGTTTTATATGTGTAGTTGGGAGGATTATGGTTTCCAATGAGCATTACTTTGCACTTATGAACAGTGAATTTCATCTGCCATTTTGTTGCCCAGTCACCCAGTTTTGTGAGACCCTTTTGTAGCTCTTCGCAGTCTGCCTGGGACTGAACTCTCTTGAGTAGTTTTGTGTCAGCTGCAGATTTTTACCCCTTTTCCTAGATTACTGAGGAATGTTGAACAGCCCTGGGCCCAGTACAGACCCCTGGGGGACCCTGGTATTTACCTTGTTCTATTGTGAAAACTGACCATTTCTTCCTCCCCTTTATTTCCTATCTTTTAACCAGTTACCGATTGTCGCGGAGTGTGGGGGAGTCAGGGCCCTGCGCCCCTCTTCCTGCGATTCCCCGTGACTCTCAGCCAGCCAGTAAAACGGAAGGTTTATTGGACAGTAGGAACGCAGTCTACAACAGAGCTTGTAGGTACAACCAGGACCCTCCAATCAAGTCCTTTTGGGGGGTTCAGGGAGCTTAGACCCCTGCTTGGGGTTCCCTGCGTTGCACCACCCAGCCCCAAACTGAAACTCCCAAATCCCTCCAGCCACTTTCTTCCCCCTCCCCTCTGCTCCTCCTCTCCTTTGTCCAACTCCCGGGCAGAAGGTGTCACCTCTCCCACCCCCCTTCCTGGCTCAGGTTACAGCTCGGGTAGCTCAATGTAACTCCCAGGCTACATTCCCAGGTCAAATGCGCCTGCTCCCTGCTCCGTCACACGGATACAGGAGAGGGACCTTCCCTCTTATCCCATGACTGCTTAGTTTGCTTAAGAGCCTTTGGTGAGGGACCTTGTCAAAGGCTTTCTGAAAGTCCATGTACACTATAGCCACTGGATCCCCCTTGTCCACGTGCTTGTTGACCCCCTCAAAGAATTCTAGTAGATTGGTGAGGCGCGATTTTCCTTCACAAAAGCCATGTTGATTCTTCCCCAACAAATTATGTTCATCCATATGTCTGACAGTTCTCTTCTTTACTAGAGTTTCTACCAGCTTGTCTGGTACTGAAGTCAGGCTTAACGGCCTGTAATTGCCGGGATCACCAGCTTTTTTTCTTTTTAAATCCGTGTTACATTAGTTATCTGTCAGTCATCTGGTCCAGAGGCTGATTTAAGCGATATTTTACATGCCACAGTTAGTAGTTCTGCAATTTCACCTTTGACTTCCTTCAGAACTCTTGGGTGATACCATCTGGGCCTGGCTGTTTATAGATGTTCGGCTGCGTGTGTGTGTCTCCCTGTGCGCTGCCCCGGCACAGCAGACCTCGAGCAATCCACCCACTGACAGGATCCATATGAAGGCGCCAGGCCAGGTTAATAGCACCTGGCCGACTCTGCGAGGATACTCAGAATGTCTGCCCATGACCATGGACACAACTCAGCCAGTGACAGCTTTTTCCATTCCCCCCCTCAGCTGGACAAAGAGACCCCCTCTGAGATACATCTTTATATCCCAATACAAACAAGTTACGGACGGCCCCTGGCAGCTAGTTACAGCCCCCTGACGTGGTTAGTTATCACCATCTGTTTGTACGTGTTGGTTCGATCAAAACATCTCTATTCATCCCCCTTCATCCTGACCTGATCTTTAGGAGGGGTCAGTGTGTTCCTGTTATCCTCGGGGATGGTTTTGTACCATCCTTGATTATCGGGGGGTCCTGGCACCGCTCGACGTCGGGGGGGGGATTCTGGCACCGCTCAACGTCGCGGGGGGGATTCTGGCACCGCTCAACGTCGGGGGGGGGATTCTGGCACTGCTCAACGTCGGCGGGGGGGGTGTCCTGGCACTGCTCGATGCCAGGGGGGGTCCTGGCACCGCTCGACGTTGGAGGGATTCGCTCACTTTGCTTTATATCGGCAAAGCTTGCCCACTACTTTAGCTCGGGCCTCTGGTACAAGGGCTTATATCTCAGGCTCTCTTCCTACTACATGTGTGACTTATTGCCGTTCAATTGATCAATTTGTTCCAAAACCTCCTCTACTGACCCCTCAATCCGGGATAGTCCCTCAGCTCTGTCACCGGGAAGGAATGGCTCAGGTGTGGGAATCTCCCTCGCATCCTCTGCAGTGAAGACCGATGGAAAGAATTCAGTGAGTTTCCCTGCAACAGCCTGGTCTTCCTTGAGTGCTACTTGGGCACCTCGATGAGCCAGCCGCCCCATGGCCTGTTTGCAGCCTCCCTGCTTCTGATGCACTTAACAAAAAGTTACTGTTAGTATTTGCGTCTTTTGTAAGGTGCTCCTCAAATTCCTTCCTGGCTGGCTCGTTAGCCTGGTACATTTTACTCGCCAGTGGATGCGCTGCTTCCGATCGCCTCACGTTTTACAGGGCGCTTTTTGCCTCCATCGCTCTGCGGTCGCCATGGGGCCAGTCTCTTGGGCCTCTACTCTGGTGTCTTTCCGGAGCCTCCACGCTGATTTCTGGCATTTACCCTGGTGGCTGCTCTTCGGCGTCTGTCTAACCAGCAGCCTCGGTTCTGTGCCGTTAACCGCTGCTGGGAGGTTTCTTCCATGTTTTCTCACCACCGCACGAGGAGACAAAATTTAATTACAGGCCGGTCACTGTTACTGGGCAGCCCTGTAGGACCCGATCCTGCGCTCCACTTAGGAGTGAATCGAGAATTGCCTCTCCTCTTGCGGTCCCAGCCTCGCTGCTCCAGGAAGCAGCCACTGGGGTGTCTAGACAATTTCTCAGTAAATGTCACGTCGGGGCATGTGACACAGTCAATAGCAGGACACTAATGGAACAGTCACCGCATGATGAGACTATGGTGTCCCTAGCCGCTGTTTGCCAGACACTGGGAATAGGCAACAGGACGGATCACTTGATGATTCCCCGTTCTATTCATTCACTCTGGGGCACCCGGCACTGGCCACTGTCGGCAGACAGGACACTGGGCTGGATGGACCTTTGCTCTGACAGAGTATGGGCGCTCTTATGTTTTTCCCACAATACAGAACAAAAATATTGATTGAACACTTCTGCCTTTTCTGCATTAGTACTGCTAATTGTACCATTTCCATCTAGTGATGGACTAATACCAATGTCAGGGTTCTTTTTGTTCCTAATATATTGCAACTCCTTATTTTCCTTAACTCTGCTGGCCATAGATTTCTTCTCGTCTCTCTTGGCTTCCCTTATCAATTTTCTACAAGTCCTAACATCTGATTGATATTGTTGCGGAGTGTGGGGGAGTCAGGGCCCTGCACCCCTCTTCCCGAGAT